TTTGTTGTTTGAAAAAGAAAGTGCTGTTTTTTCGTCAAGACAATGCACCGTGTCACAAATCAATGAAATCGATGGCAAAATTCCATGAATTGGGCTTCGAATTGCTTCCGCATCCACCGTACTCTCCAGATCTGGCTCCCAGCGACTTTTTTCTGTTAAGATAAATTTACTAATTTTAGAATAATTAACTCAATATATTTATATAAATAAAAGTGAACGTATGTACGTATACTTTACGTTGCTGTCACAATTACCCAGAGCACACCACCGGGGTTCGTGCCTCTCGTCATGCACTATTGTGGTTGCATGTCGGTATCTTGCTGGCCACCAAACACCAATTTAAAATAATTTAGAACCTACTAGAATGCTCTTGAATGTTTCTAGCGTTGTCTAAAGTCAGAATGTTGTCGAATGTCTGGGATCGTCCTCAGGTAGTGATCCACATAAATCGAGGAATGTTCGAGAACATTTTTTATGAGTGGTGGAGATGGTTTCTGACACTGTATTACAGCATCTTACGTATATTTCGACCAAAGTCTTTTCAAAACTGTTTATATAATCTGTAATGTTGAAGATTGTGCAGTTTATGTAGGTTTGTGGGTCGATCGCCGGCCATTAAACACCAGTTTGGAATAATTGGGAATGTACTAGAATGTTCTTGAATGTTTCTAATGTTGTCTACAACCAGAATGTTCTCGAATGTCTCGGATCGTCTTCAGACAGTGATCCGCAGAAATCGAGGATGTTCTGAGATGCTCGAGAACAATTTTTTTATGAATGGTGGAGATGGTTTTGACACTGTATTAAGGCATTTTATATACATTTCAATCAAAGGTTTCTCGAAACTGTTTGGTTTTTTGTTGGTTTATGGGTCGACCGCCGGTCACCAAACACCAGTTTAGAATTATTGGGAATGTACTAAGTACAACGTTTTTGAATTCTTCTAGTGTTTTGTTATATATATTACATTTCTGCCTGTTTAAAATAAATAAGAATGTTAACTGAGCAAAGAAGGTTGTCTAACTAAAACACTGTAACTTCAAATATCTACATCAATCGTCAATATAATACAGGTTTCGATAATCAAGGTGCCATCCTCAGTTAGAAACTAACTTCAGTTCCACAGAACTCCATTTGATTTTCTTTTGATCGTAGTTAGCATAATAATATAAGCATTTCGAATTCTCGAATTCATTTTTCAGAACAATTTTGCTTTTAGTATTTAATAAGGTAATGACATTCTGTAACTTCATTTTTCTGATCACCGATTTTTGCACAGTTTGTCAATCTTTTTCCTTCCTTGTTATTCATATCTATGAATTTAGCTGTATGACCATACGGTTCAGCATTTATGTCTTTTCAAACTGGTGTATTCGAAATGAGTTTTCTTTACCATCGATCACACTAAAATGCATTTTCCTATCTCCAGAACGCAATTGTATTGAATTTGAGAGAAACATACGTTCGTATGTAGATGTTGCAGTTGACAAACGAATGAAAGTATCTATTATGGGTATACATACGTTTTCGCCAGACGTTGCGTCAGCTGTGCATGTCTATTTCTGTTTTTCTTTTGTTTTCTTAAAAAAAAGTAAAGAAGAAAATATAATTTAAACTGGTGGGAAAGAACTCCTGTCGCTTGGCATATCGTCGATATTTTTCAGCATATTTTATTTTTACACTTAAGTGAAGGGAACGTTTTCCGTGACAAAGAGTTATGATAGTAGTTAGCATTTTGTCGAGGATTCCTCGCCTTTTCACTTCCCCCAAAATGCGCCCGGTTGTTCGTTAGCCCAGAGCGATTATTTTAAAAATTTACTTTTTAAAGGCGTTCTACTTAATTATTTTATATGTATGTCTATAACGAAAATAAAAATACTGGTATGCAAGGGAAGAAAAAGTAGGGAAAGAGCGAATATAATTTTAGGTATCTAAGATGTCAGATAAGTCAGGACGGAAGGAGTAGTAGGGATACAAAGCAGAGGAAAGCGCAGGGTCGTGTCGCAACAAACTGTACATCGGCCACAGAAATTAGCTCTTTGAATAAAGAATAAAAAAAATCACAAATATTATTAATTATAAACTCAAGATTCCTTTGATAACAATTTTGAAGTTTTATATTCTTTTAATAAACCAAAGCTTTAAAATGAAGTCTATTTAAAAAATTTGAAATTGACAAGTTACGGGGAGTTGAGGTAGCCCTCAATTAGATTACTGTTCGCAAATAATTAAGGATGTGGGATGTTCTAGTTTTAGGGAAATGCGAAGATTAGCTCAGGATAGGAAAGAGTGGAGGTGCGTGTCCAACCAGTCTTAGGACTGGCGACCCTATGATGATGATGAAGTATAATTAACAAAATATAATATTACGTGACACGTTAGAATAAGAAACTGATACACCCCTGGTAAATTTAAACTTGTAAATTCACCCATCCTTCTCAATAAATGTAATTTATAAAATATAAATATTTAACCAAAATATTTACACAATATATTTTGTCGTCTGATGAAGCTAATACAGTGCGACGAAACAACTATAGTAAAAGTATTATAGTAAAAGAAAATTTGAAGCTTTCTAATAAGAAATCGTAAAAATAGGAAATTCGAAAGAATAAGGTTTTCCTTAATTCGTTTTCATTCGTGCGGCGAAAATGATAAGTTTTAGCCAGAACTAGTGTACCGTGTTCATTAAATTATTGCGTTTCAAACCAATTGGTTTTGCTACGTCGTCACTTCGAATTAGATAATTGATAAAACCACTGGCTCGAACATTCCAATCGCGTTCGATCAACGCAGAAAGAACAATAATTCGCGCTCATCTGATAAATTATTATTGAATTTTGCTAAACAATGGGCAATTAATGACAAAAAAGTAATTAACAACACGCACGAACGAATTTATTGCTAAACTAACAAAAAACAACTTGTAGGAAAGATCGTCTATTTAAATGTAGGACGTAGCGAAAAAACGTAAATTACTTTTGGAAAATGCAGAACAGGATATTATCAAAAAATGATAAAATAAAATTGCTGGAAGCTGAATACATTGGACAATATGGTAGTACCATAAAAATTGGTTTTACAGAACTAATTTGTATAGGAATTTCAAACTACTGGAGGTAACGTTGGCAAAGCGTACAGTTAGTTATTTGACGAATGCATCACATTTTTTTTTGTTTTTTTAATGCAACTTCAAAGAATGTGTAGGTAAGGCATCAAGCATTCCAAAAGATAATAAATAATGAAACTAATAAGAAAAGCGGTCCACCATGTATAAACAAACCCAGGTTGAAAACGCGATAAAAGCACAATACAACCCATTCATCTTCAAAAGCTTAATTGTATTGACCCAGAAAGAATAAAGCTCCCGTCATTTTTCTTCTCCGGGGGAAAAAGCTCGAGTCTCTGCGAATTCTTTTGTTTCCTTTCCGATGCACTCGAAATGAATTTTATATTTGAGCTTTTATCAGCTACTTGAGGTAATAATAGAGGTACTCTTGTTATTGTGAATCGTAAAAGGTTAATTGCAAAATTTAACAGCATACCCTTCCTTATAATTTACCACTTAATTGTCGCCGTACTTTTCAACGAGGTTAAGAATACTCGCCGCACAAGTCGATTGCTTAATTTTCTTTTGTTTACTCGACGTTTTGTTAATTTCATGTACCTACACTCTTCGCATAAATTGGGTCACAGTATAACTATGACTAATGTTAAAGGATTATTCAAACTATCCGTCATCAACATAAGATTGTCAGTCCTGGTTGGACTGGTTGGACACGCACCTCCACTTTTTCTTATCCTGAGCTAATCTTCGCATTTCTCAAAAACAAGAAAAAAAAAATTTTGGGTGTTTCATTCCCACCAGCCAGTAATGCTGGTAGGCGGGCAGTACCTCCGGACTACGCCGGAAGGTAGGGCGGAAGGCCCTCTTCAGCCTGCTTTCAGGAATCGTGGGAACGGGTGGGTGGTGGTTCGGGTGGGAAAGATGAGACGGAAATGAAGACAGAAGAGAATGAAAGATTATCTGTGGAATATTACTACCTCAGCATTTGCCTAAGTGATCCAAGGAAACCAAAGGAAAAAGTTGGACCAAGGCAGACGGACCCAGAATCGAACCGGCGTCCTCCCGAATGCTAAGCAATGGTCTAAACCTCTAGGCCATGCGGCTAGGTCTAAAACAAGAACAACCCACATCCTTAACTATTTGCGGAAAATAATCTAATCTAGGTCTACTTCTACCCGTCCTAACTTCCGTTTCTAATATGACTCTGACTAGACCTTTATATCCGAGAAGATGTCCTACCAACCTATCTCGCCTATTTCTTATTGACTTCCACAGAGTCCTCTGTTCTCCTATTCTTTCTAATACCTCTTCAATTCTCTATCGGTATCCTCATCATTCGCCTGTAACATCACATTCCGAACGCTTCTAAGCTTTTGTTTTCCGCCGCGCTCACTGTCCATGTTTCGCACCCGTACAGCGCCGCGCTCCAAACATACACCTTTAACAACCTTTTTCCAATTTCTAAATTAATCGTTCGCGAGCATAGAAGTGGCACGTATAAATATCCAGTAGATCATGAATAAAGCGAGTGAAACTATTCGGCCGCAGCTAATTCATGATCAGATTAAAATTACCCAGTTAATAAGGCAAATGGAACCTTATCACTACGTTTTAAGCACGAGTTCTTGAACATAATGAGATTTTATGTCAGTCTCCGGTGAACTAAGTTAATATACATATTTGCAAACAGTGATGCTTAAAGTTGAAGTAAATTACATCGTGAATGTATATCGATTTTCTAATCGTTTAGACCAAATCAGATATGTGAACGCTGTTATCATTACTAAACTTAGCGAAAAGATTATCTACGTATTATATCTAATAGGTATCTACTTATATCGAGTTGTAAGCATCAAAATATCTGATATGAAATCGTGTTTACCTCTTTAGTTATCACTAACTATTATCTATTTAATTGATAAATGATTTTTAGAGTTGCATTACAACAGTACATATCACTTCTGTACTATCCGGGAAAACTTTACTGTTTTAGTAATAGATTTGTTTGGAAAATTGTTTAATAGCAAATATGTTCAATGTAAAAGTGTTTTTACTTGGTTTATTTTTCTACATTGCGATAATTAACGCATCCGACAAGGAAATTCTTAGAGGTAAGCAAGTACTTTTTGGAATCATACATTAGTCTATCAAAAAGTTCAAAAATTTAGTATACTTTAAAATGGTGAAACTTAAACTGTTCTGTTATAGCAGTTATTTATTTAAATGCGTCGAATCAATCGTCGATAATAACTCGTATAGTTTACTTTGAGAGAAAGTAAAAGAAAATTTGAAGCTTTCTAATAAGAAATCGTAAAAATAGGAAATTCGAAAGAATAAGGTTTTCCTTAATTCGTTTTCATTCGTGCGGCGAAAATGATAAGTTTTAGCCAGAACTAGTGTACCGTGTTCATTAAATTATTGCGTTTCAAACCAATTGGTTTTGCTACGTCGTCACTTCGAATTAGATAATTGATAAAACCACTGGCTCGAACATTCCAATCGCGTTCGATCAACGCAGAAAGAACAATAATTCGCGCTCATCTGATAAATTATTATTGAATTTTGCTAAACAATGGGCAATTAATGACAAAAAAGTAATTAACAACACGCACGAACGAATTTATTGCTAAACTAACAAAAAACAACTTGTAGGAAAGATCGTCTATTTAAATGTAGGACGTAGCGAAAAAACGTAAATTACTTTTGGAAAATGCAGAACAGGATATTATCAAAAAATGATAAAATAAAATTGCTGGAAGCTGAATACATTGGACAATATGGTAGTACCATAAAAATTGGTTTTACAGAACTAATTTGTATAGGAATTTCAAACTACTGGAGGTAACGTTGGCAAAGCGTACAGTTAGTTATTTGACGAATGCATCACATTTTTTTTTGTTTTTTTAATGCAACTTCAAAGAATGTGTAGGTAAGGCATCAAGCATTCCAAAAGATAATAAATAATGAAACTAATAAGAAAAGCGGTCCACCATGTATAAACAAACCCAGGTTGAAAACGCGATAAAAGCACAATACAACCCATTCATCTTCAAAAGCTTAATTGTATTGACCCAGAAAGAATAAAGCTCCCGTCATTTTTCTTCTCCGGGGGAAAAAGCTCGAGTCTCTGCGAATTCTTTTGTTTCCTTTCCGATGCACTCGAAATGAATTTTATATTTGAGCTTTTATCAGCTACTTGAGGTAATAATAGAGGTACTCTTGTTATTGTGAATCGTAAAAGGTTAATTGCAAAATTTAACAGCATACCCTTCCTTATAATTTACCACTTAATTGTCGCCGTACTTTTCAACGAGGTTAAGAATACTCGCCGCACAAGTCGATTGCTTAATTTTCTTTTGTTTACTCGACGTTTTGTTAATTTCATGTACCTACACTCTTCGCATAAATTNGTACACAGCTGTAGTTCTTATCTATTTCGGCAACTTAGAAAGTACTGCTCAATGATTTATAATGCCGCATTGTTGTCGTTAAATAGAGTGAGCGTGACGCTATATAGAGTGTAATTTTGTATCGAAAACAATGTAAACCAACCAAAGTCAAGCAATTTCGACGTTTTAAGGAGTTTGTCGTTAAATCGACTGACGTTATAAAGAGTTTACACTGTATATATTTTTTTAGCTATAAGCTTCGTTTTATTAATTTATTTTGGTGTATTTGTTAGAAACTAGGGGCCCTATCGATGATTTAGTATTATCGGCGTTAAATAGTGTGATTGACTGTCTTCGCGCGTTATTACGCGAAGGAAATTCTACACTTGGAATACCGTCCTTTGATCCTTTCGAGATAAGGGGTGCTCTCCGAATTCCCCTGAACTTGGACATAATTTCGTAAGTATGGGTAGTTGGCTCATTGAATGAATGAAAAGTAGAAGTAGAAAATACGACAAATGGCGCTGTAAACGCCATCTGTAGTACAGTGCTACATTTTAGGATTACGTATGCTTCAACAAGGTCCATTTAAATATATGGATCCATCCATTTGTCGTATTTTCTAAAACGCGCTGTTAAGGTAGCAGGTAAATGTTGTTCTGTGTTCTGTCGGAGCTGCCTGCGACGCGCTGATGAGATCCAAAAAGAACGAAATCGCGATTCGCGTCTGGCAGTTTCGACAGAATACAGACCACTTCGAATTATTTTAAAAGTAGAAGTAATTAGTACCTGTTGTTATTGTTGTTAGTTACGTTGTGAAAACTTGTCGATGTCCAGTATTCGACATTTATAAATTACATAATTATAGCTACAAAAACAGTCGGTACAATTTTTTATAGCAGTTAGAGTTACAAAGACATCTACTTGAAAATGACAAATAAATTAAGAAATTTGAAATGGCTGCTAAATGGAGACCAGTCTAGTTGGCGAACAAAACTTTTTAAATGAATCAGTTTTTATTGGTTTTCAGAGGGGTTGTTACGGTGAGTGATTTAACTCTGGAAGGCATTCCAGACTTTAATACGACAATCGCTAGTTCGCTAAACATATTGGGGGGCAATGTTAGAATGAATGTTACTTTTGAATCTATTAAACTACGAAGTGGATACTCATTGGATGTCAATTTTTTAGTCGCAAAACTGGATGGAGAAGGTGACCTTAGGTAAGAAACCAAAGAATATCAGACTAAATTTAATTGGAGCAAATTGCTTGTTCAAATCTTATTTTCTAAAAGGATAAAAAATAACATTTTAATTGCTATACAATAACGAGGGTACTACGTACTAAAGGTTTCTATTTATCCGAAAATATAATTTAAATTTCTTTTGGAGATATCTTATCGTTAGCATAATGTTCATCTACGATCTATTAATTTATAGTGTGCTCCCGATAAATAATTTTAAAATGTTTTGATTTTAGTTGTTCGAAGGGAGTTGTGATAATAATTAATAGAAAATAAATTTAAAATACTGAAAGTTTAAAAAGAAATAACTTATCAAAATAACAAGAATGTGGTAGCATACATTGCAGAATTAAAAAAAAAAATCAACTATAATTTATTTTCTGTAATTTTTTAAGCATTGAATTGCATAACCTGGTAGCAAACATTGGTATACGAGCGAGCACCTTAGGACCGCCACTTTTGCGAAATCCAACATTTGTACTTTCACTCGACAACGCCAACGTAAGTTTACATTTATCATAAAGATAGGAATAAGTCAGTTTTATTAATAGCAATAACAGGTATAGGTAACTTAGAATGACATGAACCTTTAAATAGGCTGGAGACGGATCTACTGGCATTTAAAATCAATAAACGAGCTGAGTCCATGTCATTCTAAACCACCTCTACAGTTCTCGCGCTTTAACATGGTAAAAAACAGTAAAAGCGAGGCGGTCAATGAATGCTGAGAAAGGAATAGTTAGAAAATAATGTTACCATATGTATTATTATTAATATTATTACAGATTAAAATAACTGGATTTGGAAACGATGATAAAATAAGTGATATAATAAGTAGGCAGTTAGAAGCCACTTTAATGTCTCTGATCATAGAACAGGATAAAGTTATCAGCTATTATGTGGAAGAAATTATAGATGGTCTGGTAAGAAATATAACCTTATCAGATATAACTGGCGGCGGTGGTTCAGGAATTCTTAATTGTTAATCGTGTTTTGAATTAATAAAATATATTATTACTGTGATATAGTTCTTTTAATGAACCTTTTCAAAATAATTTCGATATTTTCAAAACTGAAATGAAGGTGTAAGATTATGAAAGAGATTACCGAGATTAGTCTGTTAAGAGGAGATCAGTATTCCTCCATGAGCTTTTTGATCTCTAGATAGAAGCATAAACTTTCTTCATAAGAAAAGTCAAGAACCGAACATTTTTATTCGTTACCTATACAAAATCTTCATTAACGTTTTTATGTCGAATTTTGGGTTTCAATGTTTCGTTTATGTAGCTCAGTTCTACAAAAGTCCTTTTGATTTTGTTGCAGTATCATGGCTTCCCTGTCAAGTGAATATAAGAGGTTTCACATTATTAGTTAGTAATATCATTCCGACGACTCTCTTATGTATATATATATATATTAGATTTCTCAAAAAGTGCTTCCAAATTTCATACAAATTAAAAGTAATTTATATTTTTATTCATCTAGGAAAACTATTCTTTTCGCCAAACAAAAAGAAGCCGGTCTCTAACTACTACTAATTCCCAAACTTTTCTTTGTACCTCGATATTCTCGCGGATGGTAAAAGCGAATCCTTTGAAGTTAGCATAGCAGAACTAGCAGGTAAAAAACCCGAAAACAAGTTTGAATGCTAACTTCAAATGGGGCAAACAAAAACATTGTAAAATCAGTTAGGAAAAACGAAAACACCTCGAACCAGGCTTATGATTACCCGCTAATACACTTCTGACGGTAGAGATTCGAACTTTTTTCAAAATATTGCAGTTTTTCTATCTTGGGTGGAATTATATTGTTTGGGTTTCTCGGGTTGCGGCTAATTTTTGGCAATTTATATTTTTGTCTGCTAACTTTGCTATGCCAACTTCAAAAGGGTGGTAAAGTGCTTTGATATAAAGTTAGTCAGTATTATATGAGTAAATAAAGCAAACTAACCAAGCTCAAGTAATGAATACGTTACAGGGAATTTTTCGTGATAAACGCAGCCGTTGTAGAGAGTTTACACATTGTTAATTTTTCGGCCTGGCGACTTCTCCACTTGGTTTCGAATAAATATGCAAATCCTACGGTTTCTGGGACGAAGTTCGAAGCGCGTAAGGATGTAAAATAAAATTTGGCCGACCGAACGCAAAGTAAGTTGCTGGGAAGTATTCCGAGCACGAGTTTGAGAACTTTAATTCGCCTTCAACACCTCTAAACTTCAAAAATACTTTGTAATGTACGTATGTACATACCTGCCTGAAATGAAGACATAGTCAGCTTTTACGATGTTCAGGAAACTATTGATACGAATCGGAAAGATTCGAAGTACCTCATGTACATACAGCACTTGCACCATCATCATGTAACACATACAAAAAGTTTTCGTCACGTCTATCAGACCGAAATGGAATAGTTAGATATAGTTGGAATGATCAAAATTTTCTTAGTACTGTAGTCATTTGCTGCGTGAAAAGAGATAACCGAATAGTGTCCGCTGCAATTTCTACCTGCCATCTCTTTTCTATAAACTGCTTTAGTTTTGTTAATAAATTAAAAGATGACATTAAATGCGACAATTTTATTCCGGACTATGCCAATTTTAAACTTCCCAACTATAAACAACAATTTTCCCCATTGGAAAACAATGTGGCATTTAGGGTTATTATGATTAACCAATCTCTATAGTTCCCATCCAGGGATTTCCAACAAGAATTCTAAATTTTAAAAATTTAATTACTAATTGTGTTTTACATGTGCATGATTTTCTGTAAGTTAAAGGTAATTAAAGTTTATCAGGGTCAAATTAGAAAGGCGAAATCTTCCATAAATTGTCGAACAGAATGAGAGTTGCCTATTAAATACTGCGAAATGCTGCTAATTTTTTAATAATTTTTTACTAATACCTTAGACAAAAATTTTTAGCTTCTCTCCAGTCTCTCAGAGTCTTTCAGCGTCTCTGAGCGCGTCTCTCACGGTCTTTCACAGTCTCTCAGTTATTGCCTAGGTGTTTTAATGGATCTCTCACAGTCTCTGTATGAGAGACTCGAACGATAAAATTATTAATTCAGAGACTCCAGTCTCTCACAGACAGACTGACTGAATAAAACTGAAAAATTGAGAGATTCGAGTCTCCCGTTCAGAGATTCGAATCTCTCGTTCAGAGACTGGATACGAAATGAAGATCTCTCTATGAGCGACTCGAGTCTCTCATTCAGAGACGCTAAATAATGTTTTTGACAGTCTCTCGACAGTCTCTCAGCGACACCAGAGAGACTCGATGAGAGACGGAGTCTCGAGTCTCGCTTTCAGACACTCTGAGAGACTGAACATTTTTATCTTGGGTACCTACTATTCTAATATTCTTACTGTGTCTTGTAATTTTAAATTAAATTGTAATTTACTGCGAATATCGTCTTGGTAAATTGACTCAAGATTATGATGAACAAGTATCTTTTTTACTGTATAAATTTTATATTAACTGTAACTCTAAATTGTTCTGTCGCTATTACAGGTTAGGTTAGGTTACGAACGCTAATTATACTTAGTACGGTTCTTACCTTAATGCGGGACGTCCGGATGTATCGCTATATTTTGCACATAGATGGAGTTAATGGTCAACAAAAAAAAATATGTATGTACAACAGGAACGTACGTTTATTTGCAATGAGCGAAAAATACAAGCTAGCGTACGAAATCTCGCCGACCTTGACGTACAATAATAATAATAATAATAATAATAATAAT